ATCTGAAGATTTGCGCGCACGATCCCAAAACAAGAAATTTTACAGCGTAATCCTTGGAGATCAACGTGCCTTGTCTAACCGTCGTTCCCAAATGGACTCCATCGCCACCGTGGCTTCGCCGGAGAGAGATGGAAACTGCCACCACACCTAGATCAGGAAGATCATCATCGCAGACAAACCTACTTTTTGACCCGATGAAACTGTCCGCCGCACACGATGGAGCCGATTTTTGTGGTGCGTCGGCCGGGGATCATCCCCATGTCCGCTTGATCCCAACGTCGTCGACTTCAACAATTGCAATCAGACAAGATGGACGTCGCTGCACCCTGCCCTTTGCACACCCTACTTCTGAACCTTCAGACACTCTGTCATGGCCGCAGCCGCTGCCACCAGCCGACACAACCTAAAATCGCCAGATCCGATGCCTAACGAGACAAAGAGGCCACCTGCTTCCCAGCACCCTCGATTGGAACGCTGCCGGGTGGGGAAGAAATAGGGCCAATAGTTTTATCAATTATTATTTTGCATACCGTTCACTGAAAGGTGGGACCCCACAATCATAGTGGCGTTTTGGGATATTTTTTATTATTTATGTTGAACAAATTTGGATATTCAATATAAATTGTTATAATTTAGAAAGTCTTAAAATAAAGGAAAGAAGTTGCGTCCTCCCACGCACGTCGAAAACCATGGGTGGCGAAAGTGGCGGCCAGATCGCACGTTCGTAGGGAAATCTGAGGTGGCCACCAGAGAGGGTACACAAAAACTGTCCCATAAACACATCCAAATATTGGTCGTTGCCCAACAAGCTTAAGTACTAAACCAACAGAACGGAAACCCAGGAATGCCGTTACTCAACACGTACTAGTATGCGTATATGCAACTAACCCCAATTCCAGCCAACTAACAGCGGCGGCATACAAACACAATCGATCCATCTCGCTCGGCGGCGGAAGGGCTGCCCTGCCGTAGGAGATCTGACCGACGACGATGCGCTCCACCCAGGATCACCACCCCTCCGTCGTTCCACAGCCGGCGGTGGAAGCCCGACGGCGGTACTCGCGCTGTGAATGCTGCTGGCTATGGTGCGTGGGGCTGACGGCCATGGCCGCCGTGTGCTTCTTCCTGGACCAGACCCAGGGGATGACGCCCTACTTCTCCATCGCCATCAACTCCGTCTCAGGGCTCGACCCCGCGACGGACCTCGGTCGCCGGTCCGCGGTAGATCCGGAGTTCAACCTCACTTTGCGTGTCGCCTCGCATAAATTCTGGGTCAGCGAGTGCGCCAAGCCCGACATGTACGTCGACGTGTTCTACCGCAGCATCTTCCTGGCGGCCAGCGTGACTACGGCGGAAGAAATCTGCGCCAGGCCGAAGAAAGCAGTGGATCACCCTATCATCGCGAGGGGCATCGGGGTGGTCGTGCCGGGACCCATGCTGGATAGCCTCGCCGGGGACATGCGTAGAGGAGTTCAAGTGTTCGATGTCATGCTCCATGGCAGCAACGCGAAGCACTCGCACTGGTCGTGGTATTGCGGGGCTAGGCGTGTCGGCAATGCTGGTGCCTTAGGAGCAGAGTGTGTCTCGGACTAGACAGGCTCCGAGGATGCTAGAGACGGTGGCGGCCGGCGGATGTTCATGATCGTGATCACCGCACGATATGGTTATTTTGCTTTCCATCTTTTAACACAAGACGTGGTGAAATAATTTATCGACTTACTGTGATTGGCCATGCAATCCTTTTATGTTTTTTCTTTGTTAGCGACGAACAATTCTTCTAGCCTAAAACAATAGATTTACACAATCATGTGTACATTGGCTCTAAGACACGCCTGATTTTGAGTTTTTGGCCCGCGCTTAGTTAGTATTTTCAGTTTATTGTGACCCCAATGCTTGCTCTGCTGTTTTTCTGTTCCTACCATATTATCATATCCAAAATCGCCAACTGAAAATACGCAAGCTATTTAGAATAATAATTATTCTGCTAGTAACTGCACACATCACAATGCTTTCGACACATAACACAACACACATCTGCTAAAAATGATATCATTTTTTTAATGAAGCAATGTCACAAGGTTCATAATTAGGTTGTTCGTTTCAATTTCATTATGTTTCATATGTTTGGAAACAAAAAGAACGTTGTACCCTAGGCATGTCGAGAAACCATTCATGACTAGCACGTGGATGCTGAGATCTCTAGAGTTCGATGGCAGCAGCTGGAAGTACACTCTAGAGTCTGATGTGTCACATGTCATGCTGAGGGAGCTTTCAGGAGGATGCGCTCTTTTCAGAAATTTGGAATATTGGACCATGGCAAAAATTTTGGAATTTTCGCTAAGACTCACGTGGCAATTTCTTAGAAAACATTTTACTGATGGCGTATCAAATATGACCACACGAACACTATTTGGAGAATATAATGGGGGTGTGAATTAAAAGTACCGCGCCACAAACTGAAATTGTGGGCAAGCATTTCTCCACTAGTGGTTGATCATCGGAACATCGTCGTAGTTAATCTTGGCGGCACAGCAGCCGGCGGCGGCCATTGAAGTTGTTCTTGTTAGATCGATTGATTGATGGATCAATGCGCTTGATTGATTGATGGTGTCCTTATTGGAAGGAAAAAGCTATCGTTCAACCGGCGGATGTTTGTGCGCGTGTCGATCTCAAACTGAGCAAACAATTATATAAATATATTAGAGAAGCTTTTCACTTATCCTTTGTTTCTACCGAAACAAATGATCTGTTTTGGACCTAGCACTCGCGACCAGGAGCCAAGCCGAGCGCCCATGCCTGCAGGCCATTGTCGCCGAGCGCCGCCTCCTTTAGGTCATCCTTGTTAATCGTCACCGACTACCACCGCCAATAGGCGCCACCGCCAGTAGGTCATCATTGCCGACTACCTCCTATAGGCGCCACCTCCTCTGGGCCGTAGTCACCGAGCGCCGCTGCCTATAGGCGCCGCCACTTGTAGGTCGTCGTCGCCAAGCGCCACCGCCTATAGGTCATCTTCGCGAGCACATCCATGCCAGATCTCCGCCGCCAAATGCCTCCCGGTGGCCGGGTCGACCGATCCGGCGAGATCCACCACGCGTGCGTGGAGCACCTTCAAACTCATTGTCATCCTGGCACCACCAGCACTAGCAGCAGTCATGTCGTACATCCATGTCCACTCCAAGTTTATGCAACAACAACGTTGTTGCCGAACGGCAGCAGCGAAAGATGACTATGTTAGTGCGTGATGCGGCCTGAGATGTTGTAATTTTTTGCAACAAGGGTCTTGTTACAACCGGAGATGTGTTTGCAATTTCATAACAAGGGTGTTGTTGCATAAAATTAGAGAGGAACACATTTTGCAACAGGAGACTTGTTTCAAAAAATTAGAGATAAGAAGATTTTGCAACAAAGGTTTTATTGCAGTAAATTAGAGAAGAGGAGGTTTTGCAATATGAGTATTGTTGCAGGAAATTTGAGAAGGAGAACTGATGACTGGCGTCATACAGTCGGACGTCTCGCGAGCGGACGGATCTTTTAAGAAGACTATTTCAAAGACTACAAACAATTTCCCTTTCGGAGACGTGTGTACGCACTAGTAGTAATTAGATGCGGACATGCGGTGACGATTCCGGCCGGATTCGTAAAGGATACTAGCGATACAATCAAACTACTCCAAACTAATTTTCATTCGGAGACGTGCCTATCGATCCTTTTCTTCATATATATGTATATAACCTGCTCTGCGTCCACGCCAAATCAAACTAACCCAAGAGCGAAGACCCCACAGCGAAAAGTGCAGGCTGCCGGACATGGACGACGTCGAGAGCCAGGCACCCGATGGAGATCACGAGATCAATGCCCCCAGATGGTGCCCGTTTTGGTGCATCGTGGTGCTCCTGCTAGTCAGCACCCTCCTGTTAGCCGCAGCCATAATCCTCCCAGTCGAGTAGTATAGCCGCCACTCCCGTTACTCCGTCGCGGTAGACTTTTTTGTCTATGCAAATATTTTTTTGTCTATTTAACTAGGACCATGCTTGTGCATTGCAACGTATATAAATATTCGGGTACGTTAGCTTGTAATTTACCTACACATATTAATGGGATATTGTAAATAAATGTATATCAAATCCTTCCATGATTTACCGATTCAATCGAATAGTTCATGAGAGTTTACTGATTCAATCGAATAGTACATCAGAGGCAAACACAGCATATAGAGATCTTATGGTGATAAAAACCAAAATTTACACAAGATTTTGTATTTCATCATCTCAGTACACCACAGCGCCAGATCTCCAACGACATTTTTTGCATGTCGATCTTCTTCTCTGCATACGGTGAAACAAACGTAGAAAGCACAAACCACAAAGTCGGAGCAGCACGGACATGAACTATGCACTTCAATATATAGATTGAAACGCATGTAAAACCGCTTGTCTGGTATTCAACTCATGCAAGGAAGCACGCACATGAGCTATGCATAGGTGTTTCCTAAGACTGGTCATAGTGGGGAGTAACTTAGAGTAGTATGCATGTGTAGTAACATACACATGTTCATTTATTGTCTTGTAGACTCATTTTGCATTGGAAAGCGCTATGTGATGGTAACATATTAGGTTACTCTATTTGCCTCTTTCCTCACTAACTACTTGCTACATCAACACTTTTGTTTATGTGGCATCTATATTACTACCTATGTTACTCCCACTATGACCAGCCTAAGGGTAATGCATGCAACGTTGTAGCGAGCCAGCGAGACGCGTGTGCATGCATGATGTAATAATGGTGTTTTTTTTCCTTTGACTCTGCAACTTAACGAGACAGCAGATGCATCGATCAATTTCAAATCCAGACTAACCAACCCGCACGTAACATACGTAGATACCCCGGACTATGCTCGCATGCACATGAATAGAACCAACCTAGATCGAGTCTCTAGTTAGATACCAACTACTACCGATTAGTATGCACAGAAGAATAGCAGATCAACAACCACGACCATGGAAGCCACCCGCGCATGCCCTTGCTGGGCACAACTCATCGTCGCAGGGCTGATCTTCACTGTCGCCTTCGTCCTAATCTTTGTCTTTGTAATACCCGGCGACATCTTCTACTCCATCGCCATCGACTCCGCCTCCGGCCTCGACCCGCCGTCGCCCACCGACTTCTCGCTGGCCCGCCCCGAGTTCAACCTCACCTTCCGCGTCACCACCGACGGCCTCAGGCGCACCGTGTGCGTCGACGCTGGCATCTACGTGGAGGTGTCCTACCGTTGCGTCCCGCTCGCCGCCAGCCCCGCCACGCCGCACCGGATCTGCGTCGCGCCGAGGAAGGTGAGGGATGAGCCTATGTTCGCGACGGGAGCCTGCATCCGCCTGCCAGGGTACATGATGGACAGCCTCGCGGCCGACATACGGAGCGGGGTGGAGGCGTTCGGCGTCACGCTCAAACAGTCCTCCGGTGGTGATCAAGCCGGCGAGGGCGACAATGTGGCAAAGTGTGGAGCTAGGCGGGTCGGGGATGTCCCCGCCAGGTGCGATACGTTGTACACGTGCCCCGATGGGGACCCGTCAAGGAGTGCTCCAGATGCTGCTGCTTCCCCAAGGAGTACTCCTGATACTGCTGCTTCCCCAGGGAGTACTCCTGACTCTGCTGCCATTGCGAATGCGTCTCAACCATAGGAAGAACGATTAAGATCCTTCGGTTGAAGATCAACGGCAAGATGCGTTATGGATTTACTAGATTTGTTTGAACGATTTTTTAGTTAACTCTATATTGCTCTTACATTTACACATATTGGTAATGCTTTCACACATCTGTTATTTGTTCGTGTTTGTTAATCAAGATTTATTAACGTGTTTACCATCCAGACGTATCTCAACCCTTATGTGCCACCTATACATAAAACTAAGCTACTCAACTAATCGAAACAATTATCACAATTTTGTTCTTTTGGAAGTGATATTTTCATTGGTTAACTAAATAAAATATATCAAAAATGCAAATATTGAAACAAATACTAGCAGCAAAGATAAATGATAATTACCTAAAATTTACAAGTAGATCCAACTAACCACCAAGTCAAGTTGAACCTTGGACCAAAACAACACAAGAATCCCACGGCACGACAGGGATAGATTGTGCTAGTAGATTTACATTCCATACGACAGCTTATGTCTCTCATGTGTAAGAGCGCCTCCGACAGTAGCCGTATAACCTAATCTAAAAACCAGACTGGATCGGCGGTCGGACCAGAAAAACCTCGCCGATCCCGACGGTTATTTAATTGCAGCGGAGCTTTGAGCAATCAAACAGAAAAAACCGGTCGAACCACTGTTGACGGCTGGGCCGGGGGGCCGCCGCCGCCTAATCAGATTGGTCTGTACAGCTTTGATATTCCTCCGCTCAGGTCAAATCGACCAGGCTTCCCTCCGGTTGTCTCCCACCGTTCCACAGTCGAAACTAGGAGCAGCCGAGTAGGAGGACCAAGATGCCCGAAGGTCACCTCTGAATACACATTTTTTATCTATTGATTGGTGGCATTATTGATAAAATATGTATTATTTTTATTACTTTAAAAACTGACAAGCCCAACTGTTAAAAACCTGAACAAGCAGCCTGGTTCGGCTTTTTAAACTATATGCCTAAAATAGGAAATGAACAGTGGGTGGAGTAAAAATTAGGCACAAAAACCATTGTTTTTGGCACAAGAAAGTGTTGTCTCAAACAATTTGGGCACGAAATAGGGCACGACTGCTCCTACAGCTTCCTTGAAACAGAGTGGCTGCGGCTGAGCGTATCGGAGTTAGCGGCGGGATCGGAGGAGCCGGCCATGGTGCATGGTGACCGGTCGATGGACGGATCCGATGGTTTCCGGCCGCATGAAGGCGTCCGAAAGTTTCCTCGCGTTTTTGGGCAGCCGCCGACTTGCCCAAAATTTGTCGCACAAGAAGCCTCTTTTTAGGGGTGCCCATTTATTTTTTTGGAAGAAATTTAGGATCGGGCAGCTATTGGGGGCCCTTATTGGCCCTTCGCGCCCTAAAAACGACTCGTGCCCTATGATAGGGCTGTAGTTGAAGATGCTCTAACATATAGTTGGCCGACTCAGAGGGGGCACGGTGTGCCTGGAGCACGTGATGCCTTTTGCTCAGGCGGTCCAAAGATGGCCATGGCCACTCCAAGGACATGAGGCTGGAATCGTGCGTGCTGGCAGGTCGATAACATATGTGAATGTGGACGATCGAGTTGGACTATGAACTATATATGAAGCACAAAATATTCACATACCCATATATTTGTCAAAATACTCTATATATCTAGTTCTCTTTCTTGAAATAGGCTTTCGCTCCGCTTTATAAATAAAGCCACAACCACTTCCATACAAGAGTTTCAAGTGCATGGAAATAGAAATTTTTGCTGGAGCATCAGCATAAACAAGCCCAGAAAAGGCATAAAAAGAAATAAAGAAAAATACAAGCAAATGGCCACAGACTCAGAGCGCCTGCTACGAGGGAAATCAGCGTGCGGCATCATGAATCGCATCCATTATTAGTCCTAGCCGCTCGTGGTCGTGCTGCCTAGACAACAGGTGTCAATGCCGCAAAAAGGCCAAGAATTTGAAAATCAAGTCAGAGGCCCGTCCGACAAAGAACCTCTCAATCACCATTTTATTATGCGTGGTCCAAAGAGTCCTCTTAATCTTTTGTTTGACTACGGTCACCAAAAACCCTAGGCCTCATGGTTTTTACGATATACTCCTTCCGTTCCATAATATAGTGCATATGTAGTTTTTAGAAAGTCAAGCCTCGCAAACTTTGATCAAGTTTGTTGAGGAAAACAGTTACATCTAGAGTTCCAAACATATATCATTAGATTCATCGTAAGATGTACGGTAGTTTTTATATTATATATTTTTGTGTTTGTATATAGATATAAATAGTTTTCTCTATAAACCTGACAAAAGTTTGCAAAGTTTGACTTGTCAGAAAATCTGTATGCACTACATTATGAAATGGGGGAGTACTAAAAACGACTCAATCAAATGAGATTAAATCACACTCTTGTGGCTCATGCCTGACTAGCCTGCATAACCACACGGACACATGCTCGTGCCCACCAATTGGTAGGTGGAGCTTAACTCGCATGTCCTCGGCGAGGTTGCCCAGCACGGTCCCCGGCAAACGCAACCCAGCCCCTCTTGTGACCATAGGCGGCTGCAGCCCCGCCGCCTTCCTTGAACCGATGCAAAGCTGTCCCATCGTGGTCGCGGCGGTGGCGAGCACGACATCGCGGTAGGACACCTCAGCGTACATGCCAGGCTTGATGCATGCGCCGTCAAAGAATTGTTTGGATGCAACACCAAGCGTGAGGATGAGCTCTGGGTCGACGAGACTAGACCGCTGACCGAGGTCCATCACGGGGTCAAGGCCGGTGATGGAGTCTATGGAGACAGAGTGGTGCGGGGACCTCCTTGATATAATGTGTTTTATGTGTTGTTCACGGTTTTATAAGACAAACGCTAACAAAACTCAAAAAAAACATGAAAAACGGAGCCGTCCCGCCGGCAAAGGCCGGGATCCACCGCGCCTCCATGGCCCTAAGACCACAAGAGACGAGGTAGACCGATGGTGGCACCGACGGGAAGCACGAGAAACCCTAGCCAAAAAGGTCCTCTTTCTTCCACGGGAAGAAAGAAAAAGCTAGCTTTGGTTATGTGAGCCATCCGATCAACTTAATTGATCCAATGGCGTGGAATGAGTTGAGGCATACGTTGAAGTGCTTAGGCTAAAAGTTTAGGATTAATTAAGGAGGCATGATGTGCATGAACAATATTAAATTCAACACCAAGTGCTAGTACGATAAGATGCTTTGGATCATGCAGCATTAATTATTTCTTGTAGGAATCTTGCAGCATGTTCTTTTTGCGTTAGTTAAGATCGGCATGATATGGATGAGTTTGTTTTATAATCTCTCGACTTTACGGCTATCACACATTCACATAACGGCTATCACACATTCACATGGCACATCGTGAACGCGTGGTAAGCAACCCAAAGTTGATAAAAACAAAGTGTTGGTGGGAGACACTAGGCTTTACTTTATACTCTACCAACGCAACAGCTCAATTGCAGATCTATAAGAAGCGTACAGCCATAATAGCATTTGGAACGCACAATACATAATCCCATACATCCATGGCTCATGTGCAAGCTGAGAACGAGGTGATGAGTGCTGATGACAGGCTCCAAGCTCAGCTCGAGCTCTACCACCACTCCCTCGCCTTTGTCAAGTCCATGGCCCTCAGGGCCGCCGCTGACCTGCGCATCCCTGAGGCCATCCACCGTCGTGGCGGCACCGCCACCTTGTCTGACATTGCGTCTGACACCGGGATTCACGCGACTAAGTTCGCGCACCTCCGGCGGCTCATGCGCGTGCTAACCATCACCGGCATATTCTCCAGCAGCAGCGATGCCGTGTTCAAGCTAACCCCGGTGTCACGCCTCCTTGCCGAAGGCGGCCAAAGCTCGTGCAACCTGTCTCCGGTGGTTGTGGGTGTCTTTGTCAACCCGGTCGCTGTGACAGCCCTCCTCAGCATACCCAAGTGGTTCACCGACGAGCGGGCAGCAGCGCTGTCGCTCTTCGAGGTGGCCCACGGCTGCACACGCTGGGAGATGGCAGCAAAGGAGAAGGGCGACAGCAGCTTGTTGGATGCCGGAATGGTCGCGGATAGCACCATCATCATGGAGGTCCTTCTGAGGGACAGTCACAGCATCTTCGAGGGGGTGAGCTCGCTGGTCGATGTTGGCGGCGGACATGGCGCGGTGGCTGCGGCCGTCGCGAGGGCGTTCCCGGAAGTCAACTGCACAGTTTTGGACCTCCCACACGTTGTAGCCGGGGCACCCGCCAATGAAAGCATCCAGTTTGTCGCTGGTGATATGTTCGAACACATTCCATCAGCAGACGTCGTTCTACTCAAGGTACATACTCCCCAATTTGAACTAAAACCATAACACTTATTTTAGGGCGGACGGAGTAGGACGTCTCATGTCTTTTTTTTTTAACAATAAAAGGTGCTTTTATACAAACATAACGTGCAAGTCAGTATCTCCTCTAATCGTTTACGTACATATGTGTGGTCTTCATACATTTCAGTGGATTCTGCATTGTTGGCAAGATGAGCACTGCATCAACATACTGCGACGGTGCAAGGAAGCCATCCCGTCAAGGGATGCAGGCGGGAAGGTGATAATCATCGATATGGTCGTCGGCTATGCTGGTGCTGCGTCAGCGGAAAATGTTTCAATGGAGACGCAGGTTCTGTCAGATGTTTACAAGATGTACATGGACGGGGTTGAGCGAGAGGAGGATGAGTGGGCCAAGATCTTCTCTGAAGCTGGGTTCAGTGACTATAAGATCTCGCCCGTGTTGGGGTTTCGATCCATCATCGAGGTCTACCCTTGAAATGCTTTCCCTCAAAGCAGAATGAAACACATTACAATGTTCGTTTCGTGTTAAAATATGGCTGATGCAACTACTCCATCTGTTTAGCATGTAGCAGAAGTTTGTGTCGCTGGAAATCAAATAATGCAAGTGTGTTTGACTTCCCTGGTGAACATGCATGGCATTATTGACATGGATGGAGAATCTTAATCCCACCATCACGGCGTGGTTACTTTATTATCATCCATCGAAAAAAATTAAAAACAAATAGGCCCATAGTATTCAACTTCCATTATGAATACCCTATTATCATCCATTGTTTTCTTCAAAAAAATTTATCATTCATCGACCCTCAGGAGAAATGGCAATTATAAACAAATAGGCCCAATGGATATGCAAGTTGCTTCTAAAGCAGTTTAGTAATCCACATGCCTTGTAGGAGCATCCATCCATTCCAACTTGCTGACAAACAGTGATACTTCCACGATGCGCGTATTGTTCTCTTTCTTATCTTCTACGATCACTTGTGTACGTCGATAGGTGAGTTCGATTCCTTACATATTCTGCCAAAGTGACAGAGGAAGTGCAGGAAAAAATGAGCAAGAGGATGATGCGGTAAAGTCTTGGACTTGCAAATTTCATTGAAAGAAACAAAAAGGCCCGTATATTTGACAAGCTCAAAGCTGGGATTAGGGATGGACGTGGATGACGTCCGCGAAAACAAACTAAATTTTGTTACTTTATTAATAAGTGTGTTTTTATCTTGCGGACTCACGGACACCGTCCGCCTGCATGCCTAGCTGGTTCAGAGATTTCCAACCCCAAAAACTATAATGAGAAGATGATGCAGCATTTTTTAAGCCAAAGGGGGTGAAATAGAGCAACCTCATGTTGCAAAATCACATCAATCTAGAAATAATAATCACATCGATCTGTTTCCAGGTCCAGACTGTATTGTATTACGTACGAACCCAGGTATTCGCATTTTGTGGCCCATATGAATCCAATCCACACGTGTATTAATTATCTCCGTTAGCAGCTCGGGTGTGGGGAGCCCTAGCCACCACGGTCATATCATCTACCACACGAGCAAAGCTATGGGCTAAATTCCAAATGGTATTTTTTAGAAAGAGAAAAAAGAATTCCTAATAGTCGGGTAGGATGTATCTGTTGAACCAGTGCTTCGGGTTCGCCTCTAGGTGCACCATTATCCATTGTAACGTGGAATTCACAAAGTGTTGGATAGTTCACCCACTAATAGGGAAAGCTGAGTTAGGCCATGTGAGATAGGTTAGTTTAGCCAACTGATAACAATGGGCGATGGTAATTCAACCTAGTACGAAAGAAAACGTTAATTCACACAATTGGTTATTGCGCTTGGTTGAAAAGCCAGGGGCACAAAGCCAGTGACGCCTACGCCTACGCCCGCCGCCTGACCCGGCCCATGTTAGGGTTGAATGCGCCCTAAGGGCCCGTGCCATTGGCTAAGCCGGTCTAGCCGACATGCCGCGGTTGGCCGCCTCGAAACTCCCTCCCCAATAGGCGGTGGGTTGAATCCTTTGTAGACGACTTAAATACGCGGCGGGGTGTTGTAAGTGGTAGAGTGACCTTGTTGCTACGATCCACTGAGATCTAGCCCCGTGTCACACGGATTTGTCCTCTACCACACCTCTCATTCACCGACTTAGATTCGTATGTCATTGTCATAGGCTACACGGCTAAGTCATGAACAAGAGAACCTTCTATGACATACGCAATCACCCGAAGAAAAAAAACCAACTGGCGAGTACACTCAAAACTCTATGTGCCAAGTAACCAACCTATGTGGCCCGCAAGATACATGGCTAGTTCATGCCTAGTTTCATTGTCAAGACCAAACTTGGTACTGACTTAGTACTATAGCACTAGCTTAGTGCCAGTTGTAAGAGCAGCAAAGTACTATATGGTAATAGAGCTAAATCGATAAGAGCATCAAAGTGATATATGGTAATGAAGGTAAAGTGATAAGAGTACCCAACTGATATATGGTGGTGCTGGACCTCAGTGGATCGTGGCAGCAAGATCACTTTACCACCCCGTTGCATATTCAAGTAATCTCGAACAGATTCAGCCAACCATCCATTGGGAAGGGAGCTTCGAGGAGGTCGACCGCGACACGTCGTCCTGACTGGCTTAGCCAATGGAGCGTGCCCATCGGGACGCAAGGGCCCGTTTCATGGGTCAGAGCGGGCTGCTTGCGCCAGCGTTGCATGCTAGCTTGGATTTTGACTTACAGGCATTACTTCGTAATCTAGCCCAATTGTTATTTAAAATCAAAGATGGCGTTGAATGAACCAGTTTGAACATTAAAAGTCTTCAGCTCGTTAAGTTAAACAACTTTTACTTTTGGATCATTTCAATCAGAGATCGTATATGGCCTGTGGGTCCCAAAAACCAAACTTGATACTACGATCCCACATAACCCCTCAATTTCAGATCGAAGCAATAAAGAGCCATGGGTAAAATTTATGAAAGGATGAAGGTAACAGGATCACAGTTCAGTGTTTTAATATTGACACACACACACACACACACAAACCCAACGATGTGGCTCTGTTAGAGCATCTCCAGCCGTTGTGCCCCCCAGGAGGCTTTTTTTTGCCCTCCTGGGGAGGCCCCGGCGAAATTTTTGCTTTGGGGGTGAGGATTTTTCCGGTCGTCGCCCCACCCGCACACCTGCCCAGTCCACGCGCGCGCCGCCCAGGCCACGTCCGCACCGCTCCGGCCACGCCCACGTCGTGCCGTTCGCCAACAGCATGCCCACGCCGCGCCGTCCGTCAAGTACGAGCAGGCTCAAAGACACCGGGCAGCGAGAGGATGAACAAGGAGAGGTACATGGATGACGCGAAGAGCAGAACAGGCGGAGCTACGTGACGATGCCGGACTCGCCATCCAGGGACTCGACGACGGCGAAGCAGTCCGTGCCCAGCCCGTCGTCGGTGGGCATGGCTCGGCAGAGGCCCTGAACCAGCTGCGCCTGCCGGCGGACCTCGCGGCGGAGCTGTACGAGAGCCTGCAGTTTTTCTCGGCGACGTCGCAGCCGGGGAGCTCGAAGCGGGGTGCCTTCTTCACGCCGACCAAGAGCGAGCGCGCGCGCAGCCTCTTCGGTTACTACTCTGACTACCCCGCGCGCTCCTCCTCCGCCTGGCCACGCGCGCTCTCCTGCGCCCCGGCCACGCGTGCTCCGGCCATGCCCCCGCCTCGCCAGCTCCGGCCTCGCCAGCCCCAGCCTCGCCAGCTCCGGCCAGTGACACCGCTCCCCGAGCCCGGGCCGGCGCGCGGCGAGTAGGGCGGCGACGGCGGCGCGCTGTGAGTAGGGCGGTGCGGCGGAGCTATGTGAGCAGAGGGCAGCGGTGAGGAGGCAGAGGCCGGCGTGCGGCGAGGAGGCGGCCGCGACCAGCAGGGGGGCGAGCATGTGGGGAAAGCACGTGGGTGGGGACCGGGAGGAAAAGGATGAAGAGACGAGTGGGAGGCTGACAGTGGGCCATTGACATGCAAAATCTTCTCTCTCCGCCCCCAACAGCCCCCCGG